CAAGGCCGTCCAGGTACCGCGCTAGAGCATGCGCATGGCGATGGCTCATGCTCGCACCTTGTATTAGATCAAGTTTGACATCCCGGAAATGGGCTTTGCCATGGGCGGTGGCGGCGGCGGCGCGGCTGTCGAGGAAGAGGTCAAGGAAGAGAAGACTGCCTTCGACGTGAAGCTCGTGAGCTTTGATGCCAAGAACAAGATCAAGGTCATCAAGGAGATCCGCGCCATCACGGGTCTCGGCCTCAAGGAAGCGAAGGAGCTTGTGGAGAACGTCCCGGCTGTGCTCAAGAAGGACGTCAAGAAGGCCGAGGCCGACGAACTCCTGGCCAAGATCGCGGAGATCGGCGGTGTCGGTGAATTGGAATAGATGATCGATCCCTTGGTAGTTGTAGAGAACGCTTCTTTATTACGTCAAAACACGACGAGTGTGAACAGGCGACAGCCATCCCGTTCTCCTTGGCGCTTGGACACCTGCGCCGCCAGCCTTTCCGCGCTCCTGCAGGTCCATCGCCCTTGACAAACACAGCGGCGATCGTCGTTGCCGCGTCCATTGTCAATGGCGATGTCGCTCTCGTTGCTGCGCCGAGCAGCCAGCTGGCAGCATGAGCCCACGCCAGATCCTATACGACCAAGCCCATGCAGAGCTGGGTGCACGAGGAGGAAGCTACCAGGTCGTAGCAGTGGCCAGGTATACTGTCTTCTCGGCGCCAATTCTGCGCTTCATCGAGGCTGCGCTTGATGACAAGATACTGCGCACCGGATAGCGTCCGGATAAACCTGCGAAAAGGCGTATGATGTCTGAGAGGCGACGGCGTCCTGGCCGTTAATTGCGAATTGTCAAAGATGTCGTCGGGCTTTGGGTTCAAGGGCACGGCCAACCGGTGCTACTCCTTCTGGAAGGAGGTCGAGCGCTGCAACGTACGTGCTTCCTGACGTGGCGAAGCTCATGGCTGCGTAGCGCGAAGCGGACCTTCCCGGCTCGTGCGCCGCTCCCGTCGAAGACTACCTCGAGTGCCTCCACCACAAGAAGGAGGTAGGAACAGGATGCTCCTTGTACATCCATGGGCTCATGGCCACGGACGTAGTTCTCGCGCATGAATGCCATGGTTGTCCAGCAGGATCGCGAAGCCAAGGGCCTCGGCAGCAGCAGCGCGCCGCATCATTAGCCGCTCCGTACTCCGTAATACAGCTCTATATGGTGGCCGTTGTCGATCCGGCCTCGTGAAGGTAGCCCATCCAGCGCGCCTTGCCGTGCCTACCGCGATGTACAATGCATCAACGCCTTGTCACTGCGACATTGTACAAGCAGTAGACTTGCGTCACTTGGCAACGACTGTCGATCTAGAACTCCAGCGTACGACAAGGCATGTGCTGGCCTTGGCATGAAAGCAGCTCTAGCACCGTTCTCGAGCCTGCTGCCGCAGCTAGTCCCGATGGCAGGTTGTTAGGCTCTCTCTCCTGGTCATCTGTACATTCCTTGCCCATGCTCGGTGTTGCTGCTGGACCTTGCGTCCGCAACATGTTGCGTATTTGACTGCATCCGGGCGGCAGTTGCAGGTTGGTGCTGGCACCGCAGGGCGCCACGTTGGCGATCCAGCAGATTTCTCAGCTACGTCCCACGGCTGGCTATCGCCGGTTCTGAAACGGATGAATCTTGCGTCCGTCATGGAATATCGAATCGGGGGCAATGGTGGCAGCCCGAGACGCGACGCGCCGGCGCAAGGCCGTCACCGCGCTCGACGCCCCGCTGCCCCGGCGCGCGCTGAGCCCGACGTTCCGCCTCCCGACGCCAGTGCATGGCACGCGCCAAGCGCGCCGCCCGACGCGTCTCGGGAAGCAGGTACATGGGCGCTGACGTCGCTCGACTATCTCAAGTCGACTGCGTAGCTGCCCGATCGGTTCATTCCGCTGCGTGGCGCCATGAACATGGATTACTGCGCGTACCTCGTGGCCGAGCCAGACGTCATTGCGAGCCCGGAGCCACTGCCGACGCACCGCGACATGCTCATGGCCCACCTCGTCGCGTCGCCCGAGGAAGGTACACGTCTCCTACGCTACCGGCCGCGACCGCGATCGGTGCCAGAGCCACCGGCGCGCCTCCGCCACCATGAGCTCGACATGGCGCGCAGTGAAGGGCGTCATATACCTACTGTACCGACGCGCATCTTGGACGCGCCAGAGCTGCGCGACGATTACTACTTGAACCTCGTGGCGTGGGGCTCCGAGAATGTGCTCGCCGTCGCCCTGGGCCAGCTCGTGTACCTCTACAACGTCGATACAGGCAGCATCCAGGTGCTCCAGGCGGCTACCACGACGCCCAGCGACTACGTGACGTCGGTCGCGTGGACGAGCGACCGGCAACTCGCAGTCGGGACGTGCAAGGCCGAGCTCCAGATCTGGGACGTTGTCGGCTCCAAGCGCATACGCACCCTCGATGGCCACGACGAGCGCATTGGCGCACTCTCGCACAACGCGTCCACCTCGATCCTCGCGTCCGGGTCGCGCGACACCAAGGTACTTCATGGTTGACATACATATCTCAAGCGTGCTAGATTCGATACCACGACCTCCGAAGCACGCCTTATGCTGTCTCGACACTGCGCGGCCACACACAAGAGATTTGCGGCCTCGCGTGGTCGCCCGACGGCAAGACGCTCGCGTCGGGCGGCAACGACAACTGGTACAGTCTTTTCTGGAGCGCTCACGTCTAAGACGCTCGTAGCTTGAGCCTCTGGGACGCAGCGATGCACGTTTCTGCGCCCCGCTGCACGCTGCAGGAGCACACGGCTGCGGTCAAGGCCCTCGCGTGGTGTCCGTGGGAGCGCCATTTGCTGGCATCGGGCGGGGGCACTGCCGATCGCTGCATCAAGTTCTGGAACGGAGCATCGGGCACGGCGCTGCAGAGCGTGCACACCGGCTCCCAGGTGTGCGGACTGCTCTGGTCCCCATACGAGCGCGAGCTCCTCTCGTCCCACGGCTTTTCCCAGAACGAGCTCTGCCTCTGGAGCTACCCGCGCATGGCCCGCCTGCGCGAGTTCACGGGCCACACGGCGCGCGTCCTGCACATTGCGCTCTCACCAGACGGTGGCTCGGTCGTTTCGGCGGCGGCTGACGAGACGCTGCGGTTCTGGAATGTCTTTACGCTCAAAGGCGCAACACCGGCGCGGTTCGGGTCCACAGCGCACTTTTCGACCCACTGCGGCATCCGGTAGTTGAACCAACGATCAATTCCATGTCGAGCATGTACACACTGGGGCGGAGGGTGAAACATGTGAAGCATAGAGGCAACCAAGCGAACGAGACTATTAGAACTGAAGAGCAGCAGAAAGAGTATCGTCGCATCCGATTGCCTGGACATTGTATCCGGATTCCGGGTATGAGTTTTAATTTGGACCTGGGGCAATGAGTGGGATATGGATTGCAGCTCAATCGACGACGGGTCAACTAGCGAGGCCGCGAACGCGAACTGTAAAGCCATGAGCTAGATTACGGGCGCGACGGGTTCCACGAAGCGCTTCGCCCTCGACGGGCTCTGGCTGCGGCCACAAGTACTGCCGCTGCTAGCGCTGGCTCGTGCCACTGGTGTCATGCCTGGCGACAAGCGTCGCGTCCTCAGCGATGTGTCGTCAGGCGTCCTCGTCGACAAGACCCTCGCAGAAATCCATCGCGAGCTCGGCGCGCTCGCGTCGATGCTGCTCGAGGCGACTGGAGGAAGACGACGATGACTTGGCTTTCTTCGCCTTCTTAAGCTCCGTGTTCGTCGTGTTACCGGCTCAGTCGAGCGCGTCGGCTT